TCCCTTTTCTTTTGTTTTAAAACATAAAACCCACTTGGGCTAGGGTTTTTCCTTTACCTTTCTTTTGTTTAAGGCTCACTTACCCAATCACTCCTTGTTAAACAAAAACTAAGCCCACGAATCAAGAAATTAGAATCCTATTTCCAACCTCCTTAAGCTTATTTATAACCAATAATAGAATTTCGTAGTTGGTCCAACGACCCAGAACAAATGCCAACGAAGCGGACCCCTCACTAAACAATAATTAAATAAGTACATACACGCAAATAACTCACAACAATTTCCGCAGTAGTTCAAAATAACTGAAATGAAACACTTACGTTAAATAAAAAAAATAAATAAATAAAATTAAAATTAAAAATAAAATTCTAAGAAAGGAAGTCCCGAGACTCGAGAGTAAGCTAACCTGAGTAACGCAGGACGTTACAGGATTGTTGTTTAAGAAAGGCGAAAAACTCAATCTAGAAGTTTATATAGATGCATATTATGCGGGATCGATAGATGATAGGAAATCAACTTCTGGTTATTGTACTTTCTTAGGTTGAAATTTAGTGACATGGAGAAGTAAAAAAAATAGAATGTAGTAGCAAGATCGAGTTCAGAAGTAGAATTTAGAGCAATGGCATTGGGCATCTGTGAATTACTCTGGATAAAAATTATTTTAGAAAATTTGAAGATTCCATGGGAAGGACCTATGAAACTTTACTGTGATAACAAGTCAGCCGTCAGTAGTACACATAATCCAGTTCAACATGATAGAACCAAGCATGTTGAGATTGATAGACACTTCATAAAAGAGAAGTTAGACAGCAGCCTCATATGTACTCCATTTGTGTCAACAAATAATCAAATAGCAGATATCCTTACAAAAGGATTGAACAACAACTTTGAGCATTTGGTTAACAAGCTAGGAATGGAGAATATTCATTCACCAGCTTGAGGGGGAGTGTTAAATTATATTTATTATCTTTTAATTTCCTATTTAGGTTAGGGTTTCCTTGTTCTAATAGGTAAGTGTTTAGTTATCCTAATAGGCAAGGGTTTCATTCTATTTTCTTCTTTGTAAGCAGCTATTTATACCATTGTATCAATTCTTTAAAGTTTAAGAAAATAGTACTATTTTTATCAATTAACAGCAACCTTTGTAAGAACAAAAACCTTAATAAACACACACGGCAACACCTAGTACACAAACAGAGAATCACCCAAGGGGGGAGAATAAGGGACTTGATAAGCGCCAAGGTTGCTCGTGTTTACAAAGCTAGAGGTCCTTCTAGGATCCTTGCAAACATTCACAAAAACGACTAACTTACCGAATGATTCCAACCAAGAGTAAGGTTAGAAGATGAATCASTCTTAGATCGGACTTAGAATCTACGATRRDCACTYYTAGATCCTAAGACGACTCACTCCAGAATTAGCTTGATCGAGACTAATCCAATGAATCGGTTTAACATCAAACCTAAAGCAAGATTTGAAAGAAGCAACACCAAAAGTGTTAAGGAACAAAAGTTCTTGAATTTCAATATGTTTTAATCTTAAGTTATCCATAACAAGAGCATTACAAGCCTTTAAATAGGCCAAATGGTCGTTCAATATAAGAACACCAAAAGTTTTTCAAAATACTACTTAATGCAAATTGTAGAAAATAAGACATGCAAATCAAAACTTGATTGCACATCATTCTAGACACTTAAATGCGGATCAGAAAACGTAGTCATGCTTCAAATGGTCTTATCTATGTGCTGTAGGAGGCGCTTCACATTTGGATATGGTTTGACAACTTTTGACTTCACAAACTCCAAAGAGGTGCAATCTGCAAAGGCACCTGTTCACGAATCTGCACACTTTTTTTGTCTTCCGTGCCATCTCTCAAAATAGACAACTTTTCCCGTGCCATCTTTGCTTCATTCTCTTCTTGACTCATTGAAGTATCATTATGAATAAATTCGGGCTCAAAACTCTTTGTTGGTTCTTGTGCATTAACAAGCTTTTGAAGGTGCAGTGTGAAAGCCTCTTGAATCTTCCTTGCCTTTCTTGTAATAATTGCTCCTTTGATATATGTAATTGGTCACAAATGGATTCGTATCAGGACTTACCTTGAAGTTCAAGGCTTTGGATAGAGAGAACATGTTCTAAATCCAAAGTGAAACACTCCACAAGTTTGATGATCAACCTAAACTTGCATGTTTCAAAAGTTTTGTGCAACTAGATCAAGATGAACTAATGCTCATGGTTTTTGGAGCAAAGAGAAAAGCTCAAGCCATTTCCATTAATTAATAATCCAACCTGTCAAATGTACAAGAAGAATCCTATAAATAGGGAACTTGATTTTCCCTAAAATAAAAGACAAAAGACTTCAAGTAAATCTAGACTAAACTAGTTACAAAGGGGCATAAGTTATACAAATTGAGGGGGGTTTCCCTAAATGGGCCTCTAAAGTGCATAAAATCTCATTCTTAAGCCTAGGACCTATTAAATAAATTATTACATGTAAGTTCAAAAGAAGGTTACAAAACTAATTACATGAAAACACTACTTTAAGACTCAAACTCTAAATACTTCATAAATTGGAGCTCTTGGGTTTGGTGTCTTCTTGTTCCCTCGAAGCTTCTTTCTCCACTTGTTCTCCTTTCTCATGAAACTTGATGATCCACATGTTGAAGTGGAGATCTCCTTCTTCATCAATTGACCCTCATGGCATGATGTGCGTTGCTTGAAGCATATCAGGTTGATTCTCGCGTGGGAGATTTCTTGTGAACCCCCTAGCAGAAACTTCAACAAGCATCGAGCTGCCGCCTCCTCTGTCGCTTTCCTGTTCCAAGTGGCCAAAAGGGATGGAACATCTCTACAAAAAAATAACTTGTCATTAGTAGCGAGCTACGAAGGTCATTATAAAGGACTTGGAGAAAACAACTTACCTTTTTCTCCAGGAAAATGGGGTTGTTGATGATTATGATCGGTCGGTGACACTTGGGGATTGTCTGCTTGATGGCTAGCAGCAGGGATGAGCTCCTCCAAGGTGTGTAGGTTAGGTAATGTCGAGCTGCTTTGCAAATCTTTGGAACATGCCACAAGTATTCCAATGTCAGCTCTTTATTCTACAATGTTGGTCTAGGAAGAATTGCAAAATAAAATTGACCTAGGGATTCGAACATTGTGCTGACTTGAACGTCAAAGTGTTTGTTCCTTGTCTTCTCGCATGTAAGAGTGGGGATTCGAACCCACGACTATTTTTGTCAAAAAAAATGTCTTTTAATTAATTGAGCTGGGTTAGCTTGACAAATGTAGTTGTTTTTACTAGGTAAAAGACAAGAGTTATATGTGGCTGTTAGGTGTGGGGATAAAGCGCGTACAATATGCAAATTCCATTTGATTTGAAATATTAATTTTATTTTTTTTTTTTCAAGAAATTCGAGATTAATTTTACTATTTTCAATTTTTTTGAAATAATGATAATTTTTGTAGATCAGATTGGTAGTGAATCACAATGAAATGACAGGTATAACAAAAACGTCCGATATTTACAAAAGAGAAACAAAAGAGAGGCAGAGCAATGACGATGATAGAAAGGCATAAGGTCAGCAAAGAAACTCAGGAGACGGAGAAGACAGAGTTGTCCTATCATTTATCTATCAATAAATGGGTAAAATTCACTCATCCAAATCAATATACAAACTACAAAAAAGAAAATCATTTGTTCACCCGAAAGTCCATATGGAAGCGTTGCGTGTTGGGCACGGTTCCTCCACRCTTAGTCTCCTCTGCCTCTCACAAAACAAATTAGCATCTGGGATTTTAACGCAAAAGCTTAAGCCAAGCCGTGTCCGAAGAAATTGTGAGTTCCTTCTGTCGTCAACACTAACTGCGACAATGATAGTTCCAATCGAGAAAGCGAAATCAACTTGAACAGAGCCATTGTAGAAGCAGACTGCAGAAGAAGCTTTGGAGTTTATTTCTGATATGATCATTTCCTTGCTGTTGGGAAAGGATTCAGCCCCTCCCCTCACGAGGTTAATTAAAACAGCCTTCTTCTACTACATAGAAATTAGTTGAAATTTTACAAGGACCAAAACAGAAACCCAATAAATTATCAAATTTGACCAAAATTGAAATTCTAAACTTCAAGGCCATCATAAAAAATGGATAAAAGTTCAGCTTTGAGTAACATATAATGAATAATGTTGATAGGATGGCTTATGCACAGAAGAAAATGCAAATGCTGTTCTACATTAGGAATACCTGCCACTGGGAAGAGGCTAGATGTAAACCTTGGTCTAATTGACCCAACATTTCATCTGCAAAACGAAGATAAGAGTAGCCTAGGTAGCACGGACACACTTAAAATGGTGAAGTGTCGGTGTCGGACACGTGTCCAAAATTAATTTTTTATTTTTTATTTTTAAAAAATGGGACACGCTGGGGACACGTCTGGGACACGCTGAGGACACGACCGGGACACGCGAGGGTCTTTTTTTTATTTTTTTTTCCTTTTACATAGTTTTCTTATTTCTTCTTCATCAACCAACAACCAAACTATAGGTCTTCTTTATTCTCTAGAAACCAAATAAAAATGAACCCAAGAGTCACTAACTCCCCCAAACTTATAAAGATAGGTGAACAAAGAAGAAGGAAGAAGAGGCGACAATGTTTAGAAAGGAGAAGGAGGAGAGGAGAGGAGGCGAGAAGAAGAAGAAGTAGGAGGTAGCAGGTTGTGACGAAACAAATAAAAACTATGGTTAGACTATTAAGTGGGAAGAGGGGAATCCAAGATGAAAATTAGGTCTTCTTGATTATGAGAGAAAAATTATGGCTAGAGTTAGGTTTTCTTTTAAATATATATATATAATTTTTTATTTAAATATTAATTAAAAATTATATAAATAAATAACGTGTCCCCAACGTGTCGTGTCCTTTTTTGGAAACTAACGTGCCGCCGTGTCCGTGTCGTGTCATATCTGTGTCGCGTGTCCGTGCTTCTTAGAGAGTAGCTAAGAACATGTAAAAGATCCCTAACATATAATTTAAATGGTTTATATTATTCCAGCAGTGACTGTAAGTAGTTCTTTCACATGATCAGTTTTCTTCATACCATAATTGGAACCAAATTAGATGCTCATTGCATATTAATTCAAGAGACAAGAATGAAGAATAAGCCTGATAAAATTTAAGAGTAAATGCAAGTAGCAAAACTGTAATAACAATTCAAAGATTTTAATGGTATTCGGTGCTTCTTAAGACAATTTAAATAATAAAAGGTTCCAAGGCTGGTTTACATCTGAACTTCTAAGAAGCATGGATACAGACATCAGATATGGACATAGTGACTATGACATGTTATATTCTAAAAATATAGGACATGGACCGAGCAAAGACACAATTATTAAAACATACAATTTCTTTAGGTATATATATTTTTATACCGCAAGGAAATTTAAAGTCAATAAGCTTATACAATTTTGTTTAAAAAAATGAGTTTGATGTATTTTACCCCAAAATTTATTATATTGTCTTATATTACTATTTATGTCTATTTCTTATTTCTCATGCTTAACAAGTGTTTGATGCGTGCCTAACAAGTATCGAATCAATTTTCACTTTGTACAACTAGTGTATGACACTATTAAGCTAACAAGGTGTCTGATAAGTGTCGGAGTGTCAAAGCATCCGACACGGACACGTTACCCAAAATGAAATGTTGGTTCTTCTTAGCTGAATTTTGTACTCCTAAGTCAATAAATATGCATTGTATCAAAAAGGTTAATACATCTGCGCCCTCACTACAGAATGAACAACTTGACCATGCAGATAGAAACAATAATTTCCAAAATTACATAGTCAGATTCATTCCAAATTGGATTAGAAAATAATCCTCACACATTTAGTTTTAGAAATCCTAATTTGCTCATAAGGTGTTTCTGCATTAAAAAGAAAAAAAGACCTAAAATCATTACACGTGTTTGATACAATTCAAAGCAGACAAACCAATTTGAAAAAGAACGAAATCTACAGTATTGCTAATATTACTAAATGAAGGTGCAAAAAAATAATTGTGTGGGGATAGCCAAGCGACCAATTCCATTAGCCTGCCAAAATTATGATTTATGCAATGACAATTTTGAATTACTTCAAATCAGGGGATCTTTCATAATGTTGCCTTGAAATTTCCAATGGCCCCTCCCTTATAGCTTCCTAAGAAACAACCTACCCACCCACCACCCCACCTTTAAAACAATAGGTACTTGAAAAGAACATGAAATTGTAAATATTTTATAGAATAAAATGTAATAGGCGAAAGAATAGTTTGCTCTGTGCTCAACACATGGATCCGTGTCTTTGGAATAAAATGGAAAAGGTCAAGGAATGTTCCTTACAAACCGAACTGAAATATTACATGAAGGGATATTTATCCATGTTAAAAATCATCAAGAAGTAGGTTCTAGTCGACTAGCTTATTGACGAACAGGCAACAATGCATAGTTCCAAAATACAGATTCATAAAACCTGTGTGTTTAACAATTTGACATACCAGTACTTCAGTAAATTGAAAATATTCAGTAATGTTAATACCCTTTTTTTTAAGGATAGTCAAGTTAATACTAATCAACTTATCATCAAAAAAACTTCAAACTGTCAAAAGCAACACATTAAAGGAGAGCTTCATAGATAGAAAAACTCGATGAATTGGATTTGATCCTCTCTTCTTTGTGTGTATGTTTTGACAGGTCATATAGAAATCAGAAACTTATACCATCACTCCAAATAAAAATAATTTTGTACTACTTGCTAAACAGAAAATGTTTTGGTGAAGAAAATGAATAAAGTATGTCAACCCAAGGACAACAAGATTATCAGGAAAAGCACATGCATCCCCCATAGTATGATAGTATGCAAAAAATTAAACAGGATATGTAAGGGAAGAGAAAGAAAGAATGAAAAATATACTTACAAGATATAAGAGATGTAGGAACCCAATGTCTCATACGGCTCATTTACGGTGACCACTACCCCAACACCAAGCTCGAGGAACGTCTATTAGATACAGAACAGCACCTAACAGTATAAACACAATAGGTCAAATAGCAATCAGAAACTAAATACAAATGAAGTTCTTAGCGTTAAAACATGTTACAAATTAACACCTTCATTCCCATATTAAGTTCTTGGTTGCTTTCGCTAGTCATTTCCTTATTCCACCCAATTGCATAACTAGTTCTTGATCTCCAAATTTATTCAAATGTTTGATGACATGATCCGCATAATGAGGTTTTAAACGAATCCCTTTTTTAAGCATCAACCTTGCAAGTTTTTCAGCATCCATAGGGTGATCATGCTCACAGAGACCAACTAGAAGGAGAGAATAAATATCCGAGTCAATGGAAGATAAATATCCATTCCTATCCACTTCATTGCATAAGTTATAACCATCTAGCACTCGCTCCTCTAAGCATAATTCCTTGATCATGACGCTACAAGCTACACCATCTGGCTTCACCCCACTAGCTAACATGTTTCTAAATAGCTCCTCTGCCGCTGCAATCTTTTTCATCTTAGCCAAGGACACCACAAGTGAGCTATAGCAATCCCCATATGAAGTACCACCTCTTGCAACCACTCTATGAATCAACTCATAAACTTCTTCCATGTGACCATCTTTACAAAATTCCTTTATCAAAGTTCTAACTGTGACACGATTTGGAGCACATCCAGAGTTTTCCATTCTGTCCAATATCTTCAATGCCTCCAGAGGCTGACCTAATTCACATAGACTCTGAATTATGGAAGTGTATGTGACAGTATTTGGACTACAATTTCCCCCTTCTTTTTCCATCTCCTCCAACAATTCCATTATCTTTTCCGTAATCCCCTGTCGACTAGCACCATTGAGCAGGATAGAGTAAGCCAGTGTATTGGGTGAACATCCATTTTCCTTCATAGCCTTAAATAACCCATAAGCATCCTCCAAACGACCCACATCACAGAATCCTTTGAGCATCGCAATATAAGTGATCATATTAGGATGAATATCTATTGAATCCATCTCTTCCATCAACTTCATCGCCTTATCCATCTCTCCCTTTTCTATAAACAATCTTACAACCAGATTATAGATTGTAGTATCTGCACGCAAATGAAATTCAGGCATTTTCCCTAATATCAACAAAGCCTCATTGGCAAGCTTAGCTTCTTTACACAAATTTAACATAACCTTAAACATTCTAATATCAACAACACAACCCTCCCTTCTATAATCTTCAATAACATTCAAAAGCAAACAAGGGCTTCGATCAATTCCAATCAATTCACAAGCTCTACTATACATAAAAGAACTATGCCTGTAATTAGGTTGACGACCAGCCCATATAAAAAATCTAAGACCCATTAGGGATAGTTCGAAGGAACACTTATGTAATACTTGGTTGACACATCTGGAATCCAGCGTCGTCTTAACGGTAGCCAGGATTTTCTCCACGTTTCCATTGTTTTTCTGCAGATGATCGTAGAATAAATCGGCAGAAGAAACTGTACTTAGATGCAAGGCAGATAATTTCGAGATCTTGAGACCAAATGAGAATGAACGGAAGCTAAAGATTCCAAAGAGAGCCATTTATACAGTAATTTCAGAGCAACAAAAAGTTCTTTTAACAAGGGGCAGCTGCAGACGATTTACATAGTCACTTAAAATGAAAATAATCCCTGAACTAAAAAAAAATCCTAAATGTAGCAAAACTAGAGCATATGTAAATCAATGATTACTGGGTTCAATTTGATTCGATTTACTGGTCAGATTTTTCCCTTCTCCGGTTCTTTCTGCCCTTCACTTGGATTATTGATAGATTCCTACGAAACCTGAGGCGTTTCGGGACGAAGATGAGTTTGGAACGAGACTATGAAAGAGATGAAACCTAGATTCTGGAGTAATTGAGATTTTTTACTCGAAATTGTTTGCAATTTCGACTTTTGACTCGTTTTCTAAATATTAGTATTTGTGACTTTGGGATACGGTTTTTGGGAATTTGGGCTGAGTTGAGTAATCTTTTTCAGACAAAAATGATTTATGTCTTGCTGTATAAAATAAAAGTTTTGCAACGTTCGGTTTAGGTTTGAAATTACGTAATGTCATAGCTCAACGGTAATTGGCATATTACTTTCACTATCCCTCTACTCATTTTTTAGATTTCTCTCTTATTCCCTCCCTCTATCTCCCTCTCTTTTTTGAGCATTTTCTTCTTTCCTCTCACTTCCTTGATTATGTCTGTTATCCTTTATCCCAAAATCCCAGTCGAGAAAAACTACATTTTTCAAAATATTCATCTTTAGCAAATCCCACTTCTAGAAAATCACTTGCTTTCGATTTTTTCTTCTTCATAGATTTTTTCTACCATTTGTGAATTTTTCTTCTTTTGAGATTTTTCTACTTCGAATAAAGCATGCCGAAACGAGTTGAATCGGGCTCTTAATCTCGTTCTCATTCAAAATCGCCCTCACTCTTTTTAAGGATCGGTCTCTCTCTTTCTTCTTCAGAATCGATCTCGCTCTCGCTCTTCTTCAGAATCGCTCTCAGTCTCGCTCTTCGCCTCCATAATCGATCTCGCTCTTGCTCGCCTTCAGAATCGTTCTCGCTCACGCTCAGAAGCACTCTCGCTCTCTCTCAAAATCTCTCTCGCTCTCATTCTCTCTCAAATATTTGTTGCTAAAATCTTTCCCTCCTGAATCTTCTATCTCTCGATCGAAGTTGGCAGTGGAGGAGGCCATTGATGGCGTCTGGTTGGAGGAAGCGACGATGCAAAGGGAGGTCACGCAGGTGATTCTAGGGCTCAAAAGTGCGAATTTGACCCATTTGACCTAAAAATGTTTTAGGTTTGCTCAAATGACTCAAATTTAGATTTTTCACTTATATGACCCCATTCCTCTTTTGCTTACAAATCAAGGTCCGTGAAATAACGAAACTGCCCCTGCTTTATATAAAAAAACCTGACAATGTATAGCTCTAAAAAAACTCGACGGAGATCGCATAGAACTCGACGGAGTTTTTAATATATTTCACCAACCTAGATTTTATTAGTCACTAACCTCTTGTACGATCATTAATGCAATTAATTTCATTCGAAATGGATCAGTTTTTTTTTTGTACTTCTCTTCATCCGCAGAGAACAATTACTTTCAGTGTTTGAAACGTGCTTTCGTGCAAGATCCACTTTTTTTTTTAACCTCAGAAAGATCCATTGTTTGAAACGTGCCTTTCGTCATCTTCAAACGATCAGGTTAGTTTTTTTATTTTCAGAGTATAAGTTATATTTTCTAAGTGTAAAGGCATCATTTTCCCTTCTTTTTAAGTTTAAAAACATTGTTTGCTAGTTTTTGATCCGTTGAGAGTAAGAGAACGAGTTGTATTTATAATGTAGTTTGGTTAATCTCGGGTGAGTTGCATAAGAAACTCGATGGAGTTGTGTGAATCTCGAGGGAGTTGCGTAGAAACCCAGTCGAGTTTTGTAAATTGGTGGAATCCCGAGGGAGTTGCGAAGAAACAGCCGAGTTTTGTAAACTGGTTATAACATATAGGACCAGAAACAAATAAGCAGATGATAGAAATATAACAATCTGGAAAATTTCTCCACGCATCTCGAGGGAGTTTATGCTCGAGTTTTAACAAGGTTTTAACAAATTTTCAAAATTTTCTCTCAAAATCCCGAGGGAGTTCGCGACCAGGATTTAACCAAGTGAGTGAGCTTAAACATGAAGGAACTCCCCAGAGTTTTAACAAAAGAACAGCTTCTCAATTTTTCTCTCCAAAATCCCAAGGGAGTTCGCGACCAGTATTTAACCAAGTGACTGAGCTTAAACTTGAAGACTTCCCAGAGTTTTAACCAAAAATGAACAATTTCCCAATTTTTCTCTCAAAATCCCGAGGGAGTTCGCGACCAGGATTTAACCAATTGAGTGAGCTTACACGAAGGAACTCCCTAGAGTTCTAACAAAAAAGGAAAAAATTTTCAAATTTTATCTCAAAATCCCGAGGGAGTTCGCGACCAAGATTTAACCAAGTCAGCGCTTAAACTTGAAGGAACTCCCTAGAGTTTTTGAGTTTAAACTGAAAAATTTTTCAATTTCTCTCTTTGAATCCTGAGGGAGTTCGTAACGGGGAAAATTTCCAGTGAGCTTCATACTTTAGAAAACAATCTCGAGTTCGAAGCCTTTGAAAAAAATCTCGTGTAAAAACTCCGTCGAGATGGATAGATAAAATTGCGGCTTTTTTCACCTTCAACCCTAATTTGAAAAACCCATATGAAATCGCCCTAATTAAACCCTACTTTGAACTCCCCTACATTAGATCATAGTTTGAAACTTCTAAATAGAACTCTAATCTGAAATCCCCTTACCTATGTTCTAAATGGAACCTAATTTCAGATCCCCTAGTTCGGAGTTTGCGAACATACTTTTCTCGAAAAAATTTGAAGAACTCGATAGGGATTCATCAAAACT